AGGCGGGGGGCGGAGCGTGGGCGGGGCCGAGCGCTGACTCGTGGCTCCGCCCCCAGGGCCCCGAGGCGGAAGTGGAGCTGGTGAAGGGCTCCCAGGTGCTGGTGACCGTGGACCCGGCGTTCCGGACGCGGGGCGACGCGGGCACCGTGTGGGTGGACTACCCCAACATCGTCCGGGTCGTGCCGGTGGGCGGCCACATCTACATCGACGACGGGTTCATCTCCCTGGCGGTCAAGAAAATCGGTGCGGACGCGCCTCCGGCCCCGCCGCGCGCGGAGCTGCGCGCCCCCTCCCGGCTCCCGCGTTCGCCCTTAGACCCAGCGCCCCTCTCCCGGCCGGCGTCCCTCCCCGCCCGTCCCGGGAGCCCCCGACATCCACACTCCCGGGCCCAGCTGGCCTCGGCGGGGAGTCGTTTCTTCCACAGGCGTCCGCCCGTGCCCGTGCGGTGCGGGGCCCAGACCCGGGGCGGAGAAACCGCGCGGACGTGGATCCTGATCTCTTGGCGGTCCAAGGCCCTGTTCCCTCGGCCGTGACTCTGCCCCTGGCTTCGCCCCTGACCTAGGCTTGCTCTGTCCATGCCCGCAGGCCCAGAGGGGCTGGAAACCGAGGTTAAGAATGGCGGCATGCTGGGCAACCGGAAGGGCGTGAACTTGCCTGGCGCCCAGGTGGACCTGCCCGGGCTGTCGGAGCAAGACGTCCAGGACCTGCGCTTCGGGGTAGAGCATGGCGTGGACATCGTCTTTGCCTCCTTTGTGCGGAAAGCCAGCGACGTGGCCGCAGTCCGCGCTGCTCTGGGGCCGGAAGGACAAGCCATCAAGATCATTAGCAAAATCGAGAACCACGAAGGCGTGAAGAAGTGAGGCTTGGCCTTTGTCCCCAACCAGCCCCGTCACCCCTCCTGTTCTCCCGTCCCTTCTCCCTGGCATCTCCTGGCCCCTCCCCAGCCCTGACTCCCCAACCGCCCAGGTTTGATGAAATCCTGGAGGTGAGCGACGGCATCATGGTGGCACGGGGCGACCTGGGCATAGAGATCCCGGCCGAGAAGGTTTTCCTGGCTCAGAAGATGATGATCGGGCGTTGCAACCTGGCGGGCAAGCCGGTTGTCTGTGCCACACAGGTCTGGAGTGAGCCTGGAGAGGGCCCCGGGCGCTCTGTGGGTTTGGGGACACCGGAGGGTGAACACCTACACTTAGTCTATAGCACGTTTCACTGTCCAGTGTCGGATCCTCAAACAATGACGTTAGGACGAGCTACTGTGACCCCCATTTTCAGACGAAGAGACCAAAGTACCCGGGTCACACAGTTTGTGACAGTGACCCTGGTTTTCAGGGCACTCTGAGCGCGTGGATGCCAGAGAAGTAGCTTGGGCAGGGTCCCTGATCGGAATGTGACATCCAGATGTCCTCCAGATGCTGGAGAGCATGATCACTAAGCCCCGGCCGACGAGGGCAGAGACGAGCGACGTGGCCAACGCCGTGCTGGACGGGGCGGACTGCATCATGCTGTCGGGCGAGACCGCCAAGGGCAGCTTCCCGGTGGAGGCCGTGATGATGCAGCACGCGGTAGGGGCTTGGGATGCGGTGCACAGAGGCGGGACAGCCCGCCCCCTCCAGGCCCCGCCCCCGGCCCAGCCTGACCTCTGGCGCCCGCAGATCGCGCGGGAGGCGGAGGCCGCAGTGTACCACCGGCAGCTGTTTGAGGAGCTGCGCCGGGCTGCGCCCCTGAGCCGCGACCCCACTGAAGTCACCGCCATCGGCGCCGTGGAGGCTGCCTTCAAGTGCTGTGCTGCTGCCATCGTCGTGCTGACCACCACTGGCCGGTGAGGGGGCCCCGGTGACACCAAGACAGGCCTTTGGGCCAGGGCAGGCTGGGACAGGCCACAGGCCTGGGTTTTGTCTTGTCATCAGAGATGAAGAGTATCGTTCTGGGGCGAGAGGAGAGGTAGCTGTGAGACCAGGAGAGGCGGACCCTGGGGCTAGCCAAGAACCGCGCCAGGGGCCATGGGGGGTGCCATCCCTGGGGCAGGGGCCCAGGGACAAGGAAGCCCTCTGCAGTCAGCCCACGGAGCCCCCCTCTGCCAAGGGCTTGCAGAAGGGCCCAGAGGTCTGAGTTCAAGTCTTTGCTCTGAAATGACACCTCGGGATGTCGCCCAGGCTCCGTCCCCTCATGGGCTGACCAGGGACACTTGTAAGTGGCGTCCTGTATAGCGGTGCCTCTTCAGAGGGGTTTTATGTTTCTCAAAGAGGGTTTTCATCACTGTCTCGTTTCATGTGTCCCTTATTATCTCATATCGTCCTTGTGTGGTAAGAAGGGCAGTCATTCTTGTACCCACCTTACAGGTGAGAAAAACCAAGGCCCAGAGAAATGTGATGACTTACCCAGCTTGGGTCACACAGCTTGTTGGTGACGCCTGGAACCAGAACCCAAACCCTGGGTCTTTTCCTTCTCCGCCTCATTCAGCTCTGCCCAGCTCCTGTCTCGGTACCGACCTCGAGCAGCAGTCATTGCTGTCACCCGCTCCGCCCAGGCTGCCCGCCAGGCCCACCTGTGCCGAGGGGTCTTCCCCTTGCTCTACCGTGAACCTCCAGAGGCCGTCTGGGCAGACGATGTGGACCGCCGGGTCCAGTTTGGCATCGAAAGTGGTGAGCCACCTCGGCATCCTCCCCGGCCGCCCTGGGTTGCATCGTGAGCCCCAACCCCCGCCCAAAGGGCCTCGCCTCTCTGCTCTGGTCCCATTTTCTCCGTGAGGCTCACTAGGACTCGGAGATGGATTGGCCTCTGTGGGACATGCTGAGGGAGGAGGGTGGCCAGAGAGAGGGCAGGGCCGTCCCAGAAATCAGCCCAGCTGCTGCCTGCACCAGGCGGCTGCAGCCTGGCAGGACGTGAAGAGCGGGGGGTGAAAAGAGAAAGGGGAACCCAGTCTCCCACAGCTGGAACATCAATCTAGTTTAAGACTGGCTGTGATCGTACCCCACCTCTTCCTGTCAGCATAGCGACCCAGGTGGACCGACTTGCTGCTTAGCAACGCGCCCCATGCCACCCACGGGCACACCTGCAGCTCTCCTAGGCTGCAGTGGTCAGAGTCCCTGTGGTGCCATCTGTGGCACACACTGTGGTTTGCCCCAGGCCCCTCATTCCCTACAGGGTGGCCTTGAGGAGGTAGAGGGTGGTGGCTGGTCCTCACTGTAGGGCTGGCCTGGGTCCCTCAGTGGCTGACTGTCATCTTCCCCCCGCTCAGGAAAGCTCCGTGGCTTCCTCCGCGTTGGGGACCTGGTGATTGTGGTGACAGGCTGGCGACCTGGTTCTGGCTATACCAACATCATGCGGGTGCTGAGCATATCCTGAGGTGCTCCCCCCGTCCCGCCCCAGCCAGCTCTGGACCCCATCCCTCCCCCGCTCTCCCTTCGTCTGTCTTCCCTACTGTCCCTCCTCCCTAGCCAATGCCACATCTGCCATCTAGCCCCACACCAGGGTGCCCCTTCCCCCTCTCCATTTCACGCAGGCCCTGAAAGTCTGTGTCCATTTAAGCACTGGTCATCCCGCACACCAGTCGTACAATGCCTGCGCCCAGCGCACTCAGCTGGACCCTAAGATGCTCCAAGCCTTTAATCCCAGCTTACTGGTTAATTCTATTTCCCTAGGCTTCCCACGCCTGGGGGCGGGGAGGGAGGGGAGCCAGGCAGTCGTGTTGTCTCCACATGCTTCATATCCGTGCAATCCGATGCTCACATGTGGCCTTTGTGGCAATCTGGGCATCCCGAAGAGAGGACCACCTCCTCCCTCCTGCAACTGCGCCTGTGGGGAAGCCAGGGTGGGGGAGCGGGGGAGCAGCCAGCCTGGCGAGCTCACCTGTCGCTGTCGCCACAGTGTCTGCTGGCCGGCAGGCCACTCCCCGCCTGGGTGAGGTGCCCCGCTGCCCCTCCCCGCAGCCGGTCGCTATGCCGCCCCCACTCTGCTCTCACACACAAACCGGGAGCCAAAACGAGCGTCTCTATGTTTTTTAAAGCCAGCTGTTTGGAAGCAATTATAAAACTTCTCCCACACACGCAGAACCCCAGAACTCCCCACGCAGGAGAAAAGGAGGTTGAGGGTCCCAGCCCCATGTCCTCTGATGCTATAGAGTAGGTGTAGAGACAGGGGTGGGCTGAGGGGTTTCTCTTGTCCCTGAGAAGGCAGGGGAGCCGGCTAGCCTGCCCTTCCCCAGTGCGGAGACCCCGGCCGCGCCCCTGCTCCGGCACCGACTGCAGTCCCCGCAGAGAAAAAAACCTGAGGAAGGACAGCCCTCCGCCCTCAGGCGGCCCGCCCTGCCCCCGCCCGGATAGGGGAGGGTCCCCTGTAGCTGCCAGTGGAGCTGGCCAGGACCGTGGGAGCTGGCACGGGGCCGCCCTGCCCTGCCTGTCTCCCTGCCAGGAGACCGAGGGCGGGGTGGGTAAAGGAACGGGTGAAGAAAATGAAGTTATAATAAATAGGATTAGCAAATCAAATACGATTATTAAATGACTGAATAAATAAGAATAAATAAATAAAAAAAGAAGAAAGAAAAAATGCCATCTAAAGATGCAGCCACTTCGGGTCGGCTCTAGCTCGAGCGGTTCCTTCGTCACGGCAGACCACTAAAGATGCAGCCACTTGCCCCCACCCCGGGGGGATCAAGGCTGGCACACTAAGGAGGCGCCAACCCTCCCTTCAAGAGGGACATCGCTGGGGCCGGGACACAGAGAGGAGGTGGCGCCCGATTCACAAAGAGACAGTCCTACCACAGAAACAGTGCGGGGAACTTGTCAGGAGACGTGTTCCCACTCAGGGGTTACAGACGGGGGTCCACACGTGGCAGCGACGGCGGGCGCCCACATCAGGGACCCATGACATCTGTTGACAGAAGCGGAGGCACCCCGCTGTGCTAGGGGGACGGGAAGATGGCTGGGCCAGGGTCATGGGCAGGGAAGTGGACATCTAGTCACTTGGCAGTGATGGCAGTGGCAAGTCCTTGTGCTTCGTGAGCTGGCATCCTGGGCCCCAGCCTGCGCCTGGCAGGGTCACGGCCAGGGGAAAGCCCTCGTCACTGGGCTTGGCGTCCCTTCTGTCTGGCAGTGGAGACTGCAGCGCCTGGCACAGTGCCTTGAGCACGGTGGGCGCTCGGGATGCTCGATGAGTGGGTGCTGGGGCAGGAGGCCGCGGGGCGCCTGAGGTGAGGACGGAAACCGTCTTCCTGGCAGTGACGAGAGGGGTTCCCACCGGGCAGTGTCCCAGCCCCCCCCGAAAGGCGACAGCCTTATGGCATATACTACTGCACCTGAGAGCTCATCTAAGGGTTTCACATGTTGGCAGAGAGCTGGGGGCCCTGGGGAGTGGCTGGCTCAGGGGCTGGTGGCCTGGGGGGCTGGGCTGTCCCTGGAGGCTTGGCCAGGAGCCCTGAGGGGGGCAGGCGTTCACTTCCTGAGCCCTTACGCCCAGGAGAGCCATCGCCTGCTGCCCGCTGGGGCAGGGAGGGCTGGGAGGCTGAGAGGGGGCGGCCCCGAGGTCCTAGTCGCCGTCCACCTCCTCCCGGCGGGGGGCCCAGCAGGGACACCTGGGAGCACCCAGCCCGAGACAGGCTGGCGTGGAGGGTTCGGGCAGGTGGGGCTGGCAGGCGGGAGGTGGATGCCCATGGCCCCTGGGCCAGCAGAGGGCCAGCTCGGACAGGCACCAGTGGGGAGGCTGGGGAGCCTGCGGAGCGTCGGGCAGAGCGGGCCAGGAGGGTGGCTGGCGAGTCGGGGGAGAGGGGTAGGGAACCCCGCTGGTGCGTCAGGGCGATGGCCACGCTGGAGGTCACGGCGGCTGCCTGCAGGGGCGCGTGCACCAGCGGCTCCCACAGCACTGGCTTTCCGCTGAGCCGAGCTCCCGTGCCCGGGGCCAGGCCCCGAACCCCCCGAGCCATGTCCCGGTCATGTTGCACCAAGTGCTGCTCCATGATGCCCCCGCCACTGCCCGGACTCGGCTCCGAGCGCTTCCGCTGCAGCACGGAATTCTTCTTGCCTGGTCGTCCGGAGCGAGGAGTGAACACAGGGAAGGGGTCCGGGATGAAGGATGGACGTCCAAGAGTGCGAGGGTCAGGTGACGGGGGTGGGCGAGGGTGGGGGCGATGTGACAGGTCGGGGCCGAGTGCATGTCACAGACATCAGAGACGGTGGGGGCCAGGGACTCAGGGAAGGAGGGCTCAGGGCATGGGGACTGGGGGCGATGCCTCCAGGGGCAGGAGGTAGGTGCTCATTGATGAGGACAGGGAGCCCGAGTAGAAAGGCCGATTGGGGCATTCACTGGCACTGGGGTGGGCTAGGGTGTGACACGGACCATTGACGCTGGGGACGCCAGGGCCCTGGGACATGGGGCTCCTTGCCATTGGGCTGGGCCGGGCCCGGCTGGCCCCAGACGCGACACAGCGAGCAGGCCTCACCGATGCGGCGCAGCCGGTCCACGGCCACCGTCTCGAAGGCCCGGCGCATGGTGGGGAACTCCTCGAGCACGGCGTTGAAGTGGTCCACGCTGAGCGAGTAGAGGCGGCAGTAGGTGTCGGCCCGCACGCTGGCCGTGCGCCGGCCCCGCGTCAGCAGGCAGATCTCTGCGAGCCGGGGAGGGGGCCTTCAGAACCGCTGTCCCCAGGAAGCCCACTCGCCGGGCCCGCAGCGGCCGACCAGCCTCCACACGCCTCCCCGGCGGGCAGAAACTAACGGTCACTCACTCGCCCACCCCAGGATCCCTAAATGCTCCAAGCACTGTCGCTCCCCAGACCTGCAGTTATTGTCCTCACCCTCCAAATCAAAGCTGACGAGCCGGCCGCTCTGGCTGGCTGGCTCCACGGTCCCAGCCGATTCCACTCCATTTCCGTTTCCACCCCACCCTACCTCACCTCTCTGTCCCAAGGGGCAGGCCTGGGCAGCGCCCTCTGTGCTCTCCCCTCCCACCCTTCTGACTGGACACCGGGGACAATCCACAGGAGAGACGCAGTGGCACAGGCAACGGGCAGCACGATAGGGATGCTGAAGGCTGGTGGGGATTTTGGGGACGGAGATTATGTGAGCCTCAGGTCGCTTTGGGCAGCGGCTGGCAGAACTGCCTCCACTATCCTAGGCGGGGTCCCTGAATCACACCGGTGACCGGGGAGCCACCAAGCCCGAGCCCTGGGACAGCAGTGCTTTATTCCTCTCTGTCCCTCACTTCATACGATCCTTGGATTTCACCGCTTTTGGTTCTAAAAGGCCCACTGGCCCGGAAACTACCAACCGGGCTGTGCATTGGACTCTCTGGTGAAGCTTTTTAAGACAGAGCTGCAGGCCCAGGCCCAGAGATTCTGCCTCAGTAGCCTGGGGAGGGTCCAGAACCCTGATTCTGCAGCACGGCCAGGTGGGGCCCTGACCCAGGGGAGCAGCTGCCCTCAGCCCCCTGCTCCAGCCCCCCCGCCGCCCTCCCCGAGGCCTGCTGACCCCCGAAGTAGGATCCGTCAGTGAGGCGGGTGTCCCGGGCGCCACGTGCCAGCACGCTGAGCAGCCCGTGCTGGATGAAGTACATCTTCCGGCCCATGGAGCCCTCGCGCACCACGAGGTCCCCCGGCTGGAAGACCTCGAATCGCAGCTTGCTGAGCACCGCGGTGACGAAGCCGGGGTCCGCGTGCGCGAACAACGGCATGTGGGCCACCAAGCCCCGGCAGGTGAAGTTAATGATCTCCTGGGCAGGGGAGGGGCCTGTCAGGCAGGCTGTGCCCCCTGCTCCGAGGGACCCCCATCGAGCTCATCTGTCTCCAGAGGCCCCACCCCTGGGGTCATGATCTGCGAGGATGGGGATGCTTCAGTGGGCCTGGGACCGTCCCTCAGCCTTTGCCTTCAAAGCTCTCCCATGAGCCCTGGAAGGACCGCCCCCCAACAGAGACCCTGCAGCCCCTCCCGTGGACACTGCACGCCCATAGCCCTTTGGGAAAGACCCCAGACCCTAAAAGCCCCGAAGGCCTGGCCTCCCACGGGGCCCTCTGCAGGCCTGCCCACTACAGGTGCGCCTGCTGCCCAGCAGCGCCCCCACAATGTGCCCCGGAAGCCGGGGTCCCCAGGAGCCCCCGCCCGCCCGGCCCCACCTCCCGCAGCGGCTCGCTCAGCTCGCCCAGGATGCTGTCCTCGTCGAACATCTTGCCCTGGTAGCGGTGCTCGTAGTACTCGTGGATGCGCTGCCGGGTGTCGGCCGGCAGCTTGTGGAAGGCCATGTACTGCTCCACCTGCTTGTACTGCAGCGCCAGCCCGTGGCCAGCAGCAAGAGACCCGGGGACAGACGTGGGGCCGGAACAGTGGAGGCAGGTGAATGCGGAGGAGGGTCACAGACATGGGTCCCACCCCGGGGCGGGGGAGACACAGAGACAGAAGAGGACACGGGGGCCACAGAAGGACATGAGGATGATGGTGGACACGAGGAGGACATGAGCACACTCACGGGAAAACCCAGACGTGGGCAGAGGAGGGGTCCAAGGACAGAAGCATAGGTCCAGACAAGCAGAAGGTACGGACATGGGCATGGGACAAACGCACGGGGGCCAGGAAGGACACCGAGACCCGCCAGGGCATGCATCAGGCTCGACCTGCCAGCTGCCGGCACCCTCATGCCCGCCCTCCTGCCTCCCGGCCCCGCTGACCTTCTCCTGGTACTGACGCCGGGAGGAGTCCAGGGACTGGATGAGGGCGGTGGCGTGGCCGATGAACATGGCGTAGCAGGTGGCGCCCACGATCATGCTGAGCATGGTGAGCCAGACGTCGGGCATGCCCACGGGTGCCTGCTGCCCGTAGCCGATGCACAGCATGTGGCTCATGGCCTTGAACAGGGCGTGGGAATACTGGCGGCCCCACGAGTGGTTCTGGGGGCAAAGTATTGCACAGCTGGGCGGAGGGCCCTCAGCGCCCCTTCTCCTCCTGCCCCCTTTTGTCTCTCCCTTCGTCCTTCTGCCTGCCCCCTTCGCTTCTGACCTCCCTCCTAGGAGCCACTTAAGTGGCCCGAGGCAGTAGGGGCCTCTTCGGCAGCTCGGGGGCATCACTTCCTGCCCAGGTTTCCCTCCCTGTCCGCTCCCCGCAACCCACGAGCGTGTCCTCTGGGTCCCTTTCCTCCCTCTCGCGTCCCCTCCTCCTCGCTCCTGTTTCCTCTTGGTCACCTCTGCCCCCTGCGGTCATCCGGCTACTCAGGCAGAAGAGCCCTCAGCAGGCCCAGGAGAGGCAGGGCTGTGGGCGTTCTCACCACCATGTGGTTGATGGAGACCCAGCAGTCGGGAGGGAAGTCCTGCAGCATGGGGACCAGGAACTGCAGACAGCCATCCCAGTGACACAGCAGCAGCATCATCCCGATGAGGTTGAAGATGCGGACCACAGCACTGGCCAGGTCATAGGTCATGTGAAAGATCTGAGGAGTCCGAGGAGGGGCGGCTGTGGACAGGAGCCCTCCCGCCCTTCCCTCCTCTCCCAGCCTGGCGAGTTCTCTCTTTCAACTTCTCTCTGGCCCCAGCCTCATGGATTTAAAAAAAATGGCCATTATCTGTAGAGCTTTACAGCACACACATACAGCTAATACAAAGTAGGCTGTGCAATGACTTTCCTCTTATACATAAGAAAATTGCTGCCAGTTACATGCCCAGCAGGACACAGGGTCACAGCAGAAACTCAGAAAGGTCTGCTGCATGAGCTGCCCAGGGGTAGCCTGGAAAAGAGGAGAGGACGTTTCACAGTGTCATGTCCCTGGGGCACGTGGATAAGGACTGATGACGGCAGCCCTCTTCCCCTCTAATAATAATAATAGTAAGTAATTTGCTGAGAACTTACTCTGTGCCGGCACTGCTCTAAGTGTTAACTCCTTTAAACCTTATAGCCCATCATCCGCAAGTACATGTAACATTCTCGTTTTGTAGAAGACGAAACCAAGTCTCCGTATAAACAGTAAAACTGGGGTCTGACCGCAGGCGACGGGGTTGCAGAGTCCACACTCGGAACCACGACACTCTGCTGCCCTAGAGCCCAGCCTCTTTCACACAGGGCAAGTCCTAGTCCCCGTCCCCCATCCTCTTCCCAGAGTCAACTAACCCTCAAGCATTTGTCCGGCAGCTGCGCTTCATCCTTCCGCACCTTCCTCCTGCACCAGCATCCTCGCCTGCGGCCCCCTCCCCCGAACTCTCACTCTGTTCTTGCTTCTCCCCCACCAGTTTTGGAGAGAGCCCACTTTCGGAGGTCCCACTCACGCGCCCACCGCCTAAGGTCACCGGGAGCCCCACCCACAGCGCTTTCCCGCGCGAGC